GGCCAGAGTAGACCTGCTGTTCCTTTAAATCATTCATGACTCATTCCCCAGACCTTTGTGGGGTAATTCATCTACCCTTTCACTTGAGAAATGGCCTGTGTCATGTTGTCTATCTATTTCAGCTATCTGTTTCTAATTATCAAGGTGACTATGTGCTTTAGGTGTAAACATGGGCTGATTACAAATCTACCTGTTATTGATGGGGGGGGGAGTAAACCACATAATTTACAGTATATTTGAGTCTAGTGGTGGAATTTATTTGTTCTTTTTATTTTTATTTCTGCTTTCCAAAGGAAGGGAAATCTTGTTCTTTTCACTCCGCTCAATTTATACGACACAACTATGGTTACTACATTGTATATACTGTATTACTACAAGGTACACGGGCTCTTAATATATTCCTATTCTATTTTTACTTATATGTATATACATTTCTATATATTCTATATATATATATATAGTGTTAGATCTTCTTTAACATTGTGTGAGCACCTTGAGCAACTGTAACAAACCAATCACCCCACCGGGATCAATAAAGTATCTCTGATTCTGATTCTGATACACAGATTAAATCCAACACATATGAACTTGTTTATATTTAACAGCAGTGTATAAAGTTGTTATAACTTGCTTCATCTCATCTTGGAACAACAGTGAAATTCTATAACAACACTATAAAGCTCATTTTGCATATACTTCTGTACTGTCAATTTCAGATGCAGGGCTTTTACTTTATTAATTACACTCCATCTTAACACTTCATCCACCACTTAGTACTCACCTTAAAGTCTACTTTAACTCCCCTTGTACACAAACCTCTTGTATATGTCACTAAAACCCCTCTTTAATGTGGTTGCACCCCTCTTTCTCTGCATCCTCTGGTATGAATTCATGTGGGGGTGTATTCGATATCCCCCGCAGCCCATCCCTTTTTGGTTAACGCGGTGGGCGGGGCGTTATCGCACAGTTACGCTTCCCTCGGCTTTTTTTTTTTGTGTTGAGGGAGGATTACCGCGGCGGGCTGGCTCGGGGGAGGATATCGCACCGGTTTCGCCGCCGTGGGTCCGTTTCCAGCGGCGGCATTAAGCTGGAAGTGGGAGGGAGGGAGAGTGAGAGAGAGCCGTGATGGCATGTGCAGCGCCGGACGGAGTCAACGGACAACGGTCAACTTGAGGACAACAAAAACGGGCGCTCCAGTTAGAGAACCGGGGATTATGTGCGGTGCTTGTTGTGCTGCTGCTGCGGGGAAAAGTTTACCAGGAGTCGGGATACACTTGCACCACCTGGGGTAACGTGAATATGGTAAATAATGCTGTTTTTTTTTTTTATTCAACTCCTCACGTAACGTTAAGTGCAGCTACGGTTAAAGCTAACTAACCCCTCATTAACGTTGTTGGTTGTGCCACGTCGAGGTGTGCGATAACAAACACACCTAAGAGTTGGTAAGTTTATTCTGGTTGACTGCACGTCTTTAAAAATAATACTAATTAGTATTTTTGTAATGTGATTGAGGAGTTTTTATGTCATTAGAGAGCAGGAGAGTTAGAAATCAGCCTCTTTTTCATGCAACTGATGAACCGACTGCTCCTTTTATGGTTTGTTTTCTTCTGTGTTAAGACAAATATGTCACATTTTATTTAAAATTAACATTATTTGCTACTCTGAAAGTGTGCATATCCTCTACAGCACATCATATTTACACATTTGTGAATCTTCAGGGGCGTTTTTCTACATTTATTATCCGATACCGAGTCTGCATTTCCCCTTAAAATCTTCTTTTCTTAACACTTATGATAATTTTCACATAGCCACAATCGTAATCTACCTAATAATGCTGCATAGAGAAGAGTCAGTCCCTTCTGCAAGCTCTTAGGTTTGTACCATTATGCGAGGAAACCTTAAATTGGTAGTTTTTCTAATGGAGTCTGGTAGAGATGAACTTACACATCAATCTGCTGCCCAGGTAGTGAACTAATCCTGACTTTTTAATGCTCAGATGACCTTTTTTCCTTATCATGCAGCCATCATGTTGGACTGTTTGCAAAGCACATATAGTGGCAAGCGGTGGATGAGGTTTATCCAGTGTATCTGCAGGTGTGTGCATTCATTTTAAAGTGAAGATTGACGCCGTTTCTCTGTCATCGTATCTAATCTAAAGTGTTTTCTTAAGTTTTGTTTCGAGTTCCTGTTGCATCCTTCTCGTCGGCCCTTCCTATTGTGTCCAGTGGTCGTGTTATTCCTCCTAAAGGTTGACTAACGTGATGTGTTCTGATAGAAAAAGCAGATTTCTTCTCTGACCCAGTTTTCAGAGCTGCTACAGAACATACTTCTCGGGCTAAGAGTTACATGACAAGCTTTCACAAGAGCAGGGAGGTCTAAATGGAGACGAGGTGCTTTTTTTTTGTGTTGCCGTGCAATTCACAGATCTCGAGTGGATTTAAAGGTCCCGTAAAATTGCTTTAAGGTCGCAGTTTTCCTCCTTTAACTTGATTACAATCCTTAAAGGAGCGAGGAGAGATCAGCGTTTCGTTTGCCAGCTCACACCCACGTACACAACTGTGAAACCGGGCCTCTGTGGTACGTCGTCCTGCTGTCTGTTACACCCAGGTACACCAGATAACTCAACTCATTTCTCCTTTTTTGTGTGTATTTTTATGAGCTGTTCAGGGACCGGAGGCAGGGCCATCCCGTCCTCGGCTGTTAACCTTTATATGACAACACTGAGGGGATACTTACGGGAGTGTCGACGGAGCATCTTTCCGGCGATTGCTTCACGTTCGCACCTTGCGAGCTGCCCAATGCAAAAGTGATTTACTGCTGAGTTGCTCCGTTGGTGCAGGATGAAGAGCCTCGCCCAGGGGCACCTCAGCGGTTGCTGTTGTGGAAGGACGTAGCGTTAGTCATTTTCCTCGAGCACATTTTCCAGACAGTAGCCAGAAAGTCTAGTGTCTAAGAGGGAGATAGTGGAGGGAGAAGGATTTATTGACTTTGATTAGGAGAAAGTCTGAAGTCTGCAGAAACTGATTCCACTGTAACACCGCTCCCTTTCTCTCAACTGGCTGAATTTAATCACATTTTGTTGATTTGCTGTTGTTGATTTTCACTAGGGCGGCACAATTATTCAAAATATAAGTGCAGAAGTTGCAATTTTCTCAACAAAATGTCACATCATCATGATTTAAGCAGGTTTTTCTTCAGTGAACATGAAATTTGTGATGTAAAAAAAATCACAAATCGATATATAATATTCTCATATCGTGCCGCCAGTTAATAGTTTTGTCCATAAAATGCCAGAAAATGGTGACAGCTCAAGTTGATGTAGTCAAAGTATAATATTCATACAACCCAAAGGTATTCAGTTAATCATACGTGGTGAAGAAAAGCATCCACATTTCAGAAGCTTGGAATAGGGAATATTCTGCATTTATGCTCGAAAAATAGCTAAAGAAAAGTATCTATTGTCAAAGAAATATACAGCGGGGAGTCTCAACAAGACAAACACTTCCTCTGCATCAGTTCAGACGGTTGTGGAGACTGTTTGTTAAACCGGACAGGTTCTCCTATCACACAGATAGAGGAGACCTGCTGAGTTTACCTCTTCTGTGATGAGAAGGGAAGGCGACTGGTATCAGCAAGGAAATTGATTTGTTTTTTGTTTTTTGAGGCAGGTAGAAGGACTGTAGGTGACTTGGCTTGTGGAAAATATCAATATGGATGGTTCTTAAAGGTCAGTTCAGTCTCTGTGTGTGTTTACATAAGCCTAAACAGTGTGTGTGTGTGTGGGGGTGTATAATTAATGCATCCAGCAGCCCTTTTCGCTTGCTATCATTAGATCACTTTCAAAGGGGAAGATTTCGTCCTGGACTTTTGTGTGTGTGTGTGTGTGTTTTTGATCTAGAGGGAAGAGGATGGTGGGGGGGTTCGTTCTCTGAGCTCCTGACAATATTCCCTCTGGGCAGAAATGTGTGTTTTGTTTTAAATTCTTCTTTAGATTCACGTCAGTAACGGGGAGACTTTGGCAGTGAGATAAGGGGAATTTGTTGGTGACTGAAATAGCAAGTGTCTGCCAACTCAGGTTCAGGGTTTGTTCATGCGTTTAGTTTGTTTTGGCTGAGAAAATCACCGTGCAGAGACTTCTGTAAACCCACCTGGGGGGGGGGGAAATATCTCAGTGTTCGATCAGTAGATATCCAGGAAAAGCAAATAATCTGACTGTGCGTGATCCTTTCTTTCCACCTCATGGCAGAGATGAGTGGAAGTCGTGGATCGTCTTTACTTTTTCCAGTACAGTTATATTTCTGCATGCAGTAACCATTAAAAGTCTTGCAATTATGGCTAAAACGATTAGTTGATGGACAGAAAATGAATGCCAGTTATCTCTATCAGTTTAGGGCTGCGGTTAATGATTATAATCGTTTTTAATCGTGCCCTTGTGGATTAAATGGCCTGTGAAATGTCGTAAAATGAGAAACTTTACACAGTTTAAGGTGACGTCTTCAAAACAGACCCTCAAATATCTCATGTACAGTCATATAAGATAAAGAAAAGCAGGGGTTTTCAGTATTTTTGGCCTTTTTGCTTGGAAAAAAATGACTCAATTATTGAA